ACCGATAGTTCGACGATTGTTAACTGATAATAATATCGATTAAAAGGTTTTTCTTTCGGCCTTAGGTGGTGTTGAAGTGAAGGTTTGTAAGGTTAGTAGGCTCAAAAGTCAGACTTCGTTTAGTATTTTTATTTGGTAATCCAAATATTTCGGACGCACTTTGCTGTCCTTCCTCAGTGGGACCACTGGGAAAATGTTAACGATTAGCAAAATAAAATCAAACAAAAAGACATGCTTCCAATTGTGTGCACTAAACACGTCGTAAACAAAATGGTGGTTGCCTTCATTTCTTGGTGAACAATTACATCGAAAAAATTGTTTTTCGCGTATTTCTTCAATTGGATGTCGTCCCAGAACTGGGAAACTCACGTCTTTTTAAAATTCCAGCATTTGTTGGAACGTTCCTCACCCAACTCGGTTCGTGTGTTCTGGAAAATTTTATGAAACTTATCCAGAACACACGAACCGAGCCGATCAAATCTCATTTGCGGTCTACGGAAGTCTGGGTGCGTGTGACTATGGTAGTGAAGGTATTTCTTGGAAACCTCGCCCTCCAGGTATCGTGGCGAATGAGGGTGCATTTGCTCCCATCGCTGCCCCATTGCCCGTTGTCCCTTGGCTTGTCTCCATTTGGCATGTCCCCATTTGGCATATTCAAACAGATGATTTTTCAGGAAACTGACATTGCATAACCCTAGGCATAACCTCTGGTTTCGTGGAAGGATTCCAAGAAAACTAGGTAAAATTATCCAAACTAAATACAAAATTAACAGGTTGGATGAAAATTAATATAGAACGAAACGGAAAGCTCTCTGGTTGATGGAAAACAAACCGAAAAGTAATTTTGAGTTTGGTCAGGAATAAATGGAATGATCAATTAATATTAGTTGTGATAGAATAATCAGAACAAGTCTTGGTCTCTAGTCGGTAAGTGATCTGTGAAAAGTTGATTGGTGAATTACAAAATCTAGCTTTTATAGGGACAAGAAACAAGTAGGGGATTATGAAGAGGTTTAATTTCAAAGGATGGGGACAACAACAGGAGACATCTAACGGAAGAATTTTACTACACATAATACAGGGTGTTTACAAATAAAATTTATTAATTATATATTTATTTATTAAGCAGCGGATTATTGATACTGACTTTGCTGTGCCTTTGAGAACAGAAAAAGTAACGGACGTATATAGATACATTGATCGTGTTCTTATTTCACTAGATTCTGAAAAACATGAAATATTAGATAATCTGACGACCATAAAAAAATGCTTATCTTGTATTTGTAGAAGAAAATCTTGAATATCCGTGGAGGCAGGCATTTTCTCAAGATTTAACACAGAGTTGATTAGAATCTTTTTAACTATCGTTAAGATTTGGTAATAGAACATATTATACACATATTATCACTTTACCTATAGGCGTAAATATATAAAAAAAAGTTTCCAAATACAAAATCTTCCTAAAGCACACTGATATGGAGGACCTTTAGACTTATCAGAACCGTTTCACTTGTTAATGGGGACAGTTTTGTGAGAAAACATGTTTTGCTCCTTTATGTTTGATTCAGATTGTTTTAGTATACCAAACATTTTTACTAGAGAAACTCTACGTTTACAAGGAAAATATAAAAATCTGGGTTACTTCCTTAATAACGCAGGATAATTTTTATGTTCGTGAATAGCAAGCATAATCCCCAATTTTGATGGAAGATTTATATGGCATTTATTAGTTATGATAAACTTAGGGCACAAATTAGTAGATACAGAATTTTGGACTCGTAAACTTATATCTCGGCACAATATTTATTTCCGTCAGTTTATTGACATCCTAAAATAAATTAATCGTAAAACAGGTTTAATATGAAACGAAACAAAACAGGGAATCCGTTTCATATCATGAAATTTTTATTGCCAGTAAACGTCCGGCGATACTTTTTTTCCAATACGTATTTCGGCTCATTAAAAACTGTTACAGCTATTGTCAGATGCCAGGATGTAATAAATGATCCCGAATTTATCTGCTCCTAGGTACTCACAAACCGTTACCTTTTCGATATCCTGCGTAGGTACTTATCAACAGGAAGTAGATATAAGAAGAAGAATTTCAGAGTTATTAAGAACTTGGTTTAATTTTACATAAAGTATCAGGCGGTGTAGACTGAATAGTAATGTGACAAAATTGTAATGGAATTAAATAGTTCACTTGAAAATATAGCCCTTTGCGATTTATCGCATTGTCTGGAAAATTTCCCATTCATTGAATTCATACAATGAGTCATTGTAAGTAGAAAGCTCATTAATATCGTATTCAAAACAACAATAAGCACACACAATTAATTAATTAAGCAGGTATGTAAAGGTAATGAATCTATACACAAATTTGATGTAAGGGCGAAAAGAAAGTAGCTATAAATAGAAATATAACAAGCTCCTCTGATGCCTCTCAAATATCGGATTCAATTATTTTTGCAGGCACGTGTACGACTACGTATCGGTTCAGGAAAGCCGAAGCTAGATTGATTTGTTTCGATTTGATGTTATAATTGAATCCATAATTTAAAACAATACGAGATCAATTTTTCGCTAATAATACTGCCAAGCCAAAAAAATCTAGATTAAGAGGGTACTTAATTGTTAGTATGTTAAGCTATATGGGTGGTATAAATGAAGCTTACTAGGTGCCAGGTGGAGTACCGAAGAATTATAGACGACCACTCGCCTAACCTACCACCATTTTAGACTTTTCAGACCTACTCTAAATCGCCCTACTTACTAAACATCCATGGTGGACCACTCCACTGTTGATTAGTCGCCTTTTACGACATGCAGTATCTCTGCAGCAGGGTTATTCTTTCCCGCCCCTACACGGGTAAATGTCAAACAAACCTAAACATAGCAACAAAGAAAAAACATTGGTTACACTTACACTACGTTCTGGTTTATTCCGATATCACCTTCAAGATTTGAGGTCAACAAAATTGGCACCTGAGGTGTTTTAAAATTCACGAAGGGAACCGAAAGGAACACGTTTTCGGCAAAGAGGTTGTAGTACGATCGGCGATCAAATTAGGCGAAAGTTTGTTCAACAAGCAGAGGGAATAATGCACGTTGATGTTTTTGAAAAAAATTTGACGTTCCTTAGAATCTTCAAACCTGGTTTTATTGTTACACAATTTGAAATGTTTTGTGAATTTTCTTTTGCTTTTGTTGTCTTTGTTATTTAAGTTCGTGTATTTGTGTGGGCTATGCCAGGGTTTATGTCCCGAAGAAGGTTTCCTGATATCGCCTGGTGTGCGTAATATATTTAATATGTTTTCGTCTTTTCTTACGCACAAATTTATGAGTTTTTATTTAATTTCCTTTCCCATTTGTGCATTAAAAAAACCGCCAGTTTGAACACCGACAGCTATCCATACTCCGGAAGTGCCGCGAAATGTCCTTCGTTTTGAAATGAAAGTAACAGTGGCTCTGTTCGTGACTTTTACGGTCAAATAATAATGTCCACCTTGTTAGTAAAAGATTGCGATAAAAACAACCTGTTAGAAATAACCGAAAGATTGTTTTACCAATTGGTAAACTAAGGAAATACATGTATAAAGTAATGCAGTTTCTACGCTATATTTACTTCATTATAATTTACTTAAATGAGCTACGAGCACAACATAAACTTTAAAGAAGAATTTCATACAGTAAATAGGTAGATAATGACGTTAGGATTTATACAGAAAAAAATTCCGTTTAGTAATTAAACACGCCTACAGTGTGTTCGCCTCATTTCTTATGAACAGGACAGAGCACGAATTTGATAGGAAAATTTAAATCAGCGAACGCTGTCCGTGTCGCGGAGTGGTGTCACGGGTAGGATATACTTCACGTTATACATAGCACGCACGCTGGATGTAGCATAATTGCTGCCAGTGGTAAACTGCGCTCTACAATACGTTACGTTACGGGGCATTACAATGAATAGTTATTTGTTTCATTAGTACAAAAAATGTCAGTTTTCGGGACGAGGAAGATAGTTGCTGGACGACGCGTTAGCGGAGTCCGGCAACCTTCCGAGTCCCGAAAACGCATTTTTTGTACGAATAAAACATAAAATTTTTTCTCCAACCCCCTTTACTTCAAATTATATTCGAATTTAGATTCAGTCACAGTTTCACTACTATAGTATAAGAACTTCTGCTTTCTTATCCTCACGTGTCATGCCACTCTAGTTTTTAGGTTAACTTATGACCTATTCGTTCTTACTTCTTACTTCTCACCTCTCGCGACTTTGTAGGGAGCAAATCTTGAGGTAGCATGTTCTGCCGTTTCTATAATCTCTGGCGGAGTGCAATCCATGTCGCTATCAGTTTCAGTCATTTTATTGTATACACAATTAATATTGTTATATTTTGTATTGAAATAAAAAACTTACCATACAGTTTTTTAATTAAAATTAATTGCAATTAACTTTTTCAAATTTTGAATTCAAAATGACAGATAATAGTGCAATGGGTCTGAAGTAGATGGCGTTACGCGCGACGGCGGGTTGTATACGTATTAAAATTACGTTCATCGAATATGTAAATTACGTTACACATGGTTTAAATAAAAATAGCGAGCGTAAATCATTTTCAATACATGTACATACGTATAGGTAACATCATTATTTGCATTGAATATGCAAAAATATTNCGTCAGTTAAGGCGCCTCTAAACACTTGCAAAAATTTAAGATTGCGCCTTACTGTATTTAAGGCTATGCAACACACATTACCAATTGCAGCAAGAAGGTCACAGGTACCTTCTCATTGTTGAGTTAATGAGGGTTTATTATATTTACCTAATTTACATAATCACTGTCAATTCAGGAAAATTCTATAAATATTTAACGCTATACCTGCATTTGTTGTAATTATGTTTATTTTCAAATTCTAGGAGATTTTGCAATAATTGTGTAAATAATGTCATTACATAGGAAACATAAAATAATTTATTATCGATAATGTAACTTATGATTTCACCTGTAATCACCTATAATTACTCATTACGATATTGAAAAACATTATCAAAAATAGATATATTGTACACAAAATAATGAGCATCTCAAAAACTAATTGCATAATAATGATATAATTACGTCTCTACTTCATATAAAAGAACTTCCCTAGCGATTTTCAAATATTGTTTACTTACTTTTGCGTTATATCAAACGTACTAAAGTGTGTATTGTGGTAAAATGCCTAAAGCAAGAAAAAGTTTCACCACCAAGAAACGGAGCAGAAAGGTGATATTGCAGAAAGCCCGAGAAGCGTAAGTACAAATTTTTTATGTTAGTTTTTTTAAATAATTGAACATGTTCTAATTTTATCTTACATGCTACGTATACCTATACTTATACGGTTTGTGTTGTTTCAGGAAGTTAACCAAAATGGCAATGAATGTTGTTAGTAGTATAGAAGAAGATGACAAACCTAATTGCATGGTTCAATGTGAAGAACATTTATCAGACGTCAATCATGAAGCAGGCAGTGGAACCAATGATGAAGACGAACACGGTTCGGAAATGTCATTTTATGAAAGTGATCTAGAAACAGAACCTCATTGCGAGCAAAAAGATACCTTATTTTTATCTGGTCGCCGAATTGTAGAGATTGGTCATTTTTTGGCATCTCTTAGAGCTCTACGACATGATGGCTTTGGTTGCTCTTTCTTCGACATGGACATCCAATCGGAAAAAATTGAAGGCTTAGAAAGCATATTTACGTTTAAATGTAAAGTGTGTGGGAAAATAGATTCCGTAAGAAGTTGCGGTGGTAGTGCAACATTTCATTCCACAAATCAAGCTGGTATTATTGGGTCCTTATCTATTGGAATTGGATACAGTCAATTAGCAGAGCTGCTTGCAGCCATGGATATACCGCAAATGTCAAACGTGACCTATTTAAAAAATCACAATGCCATATACCCTTCTGTACATGCATTAAATCAACAATTGATGACTGTCGCTGCAAAAGAAGAAGCTGAGCTTGCCGATGAAATGAAAGATGGTATACCAGTCATTGGCGTTATAGCTGACGGTGCATGGGCAAAGCGATCTTATCGTAAAAATTATTCTGCCCTTTCAGGAGTGGTAAGTTTATAAGAATACGTTATCTATTCAAAGCATAACCCAATCATTGTTATAGGCATCTATCATTGGAGCCAAAACAAAGAAAATTTTGCATATGGGTGTCAAAAATAAGTACTGCTTCTTATGTGCTAGAGGGCGTAAAGAAGAAGACCATGATTGTTTTCGAAACTGGTCTAAGACGTCTAGAGCCATGGAATCAGCCATTGTAGGTGAAGGTTTTAAAAATTCCATAACGCGCCACAATCTTATATATGGAAAACTAATTGGGGATGGCGACAGTAGCGTTTACAAACATTTAGTTGAAATCGCACCATACGGTCCATCGTTTTACATAAAAAAATTGAATGTCGCAATCATTTACTTCGAAACTTCATAAATAAACTCAGCGATTTGAGTAAAGACACCAAATACTCAAAACCTCACAGAGAGTATGTGTCAAATCCATCAATGCTAGGTCGCTTCCGCAATGCAGTTATACGGGCTATCGCATACAGGAAATCCGAAAATAATGCACTTGATGACAAGATTGACAATTTAAAGAAGGATATATTGAATAGTCCCTACCATATCTTTGGCCGCCATGTACATTGCAAAGATTACTTTTGCAAAGGTTCAGATGAGAATAAGGTAATGTTTCTGATTTGCTATTTATTAATTCCATACTAAAGGTGTTTTCTTATTTTTAGGATGATTTAGTTGATATATATACCCAAAACGGGATCCTAGGTGGATGGTTAATACCATTATACAACGACTTGCGGATCACGCCTCTAGTTTACTGTATGATACAGACAATAATCCTGCGGAAACTTATAATTCCATCATAGCTAAACTTGTAGGAGGTAATAGAATAAACTTTTCACTCAAAAATTCCTACCAATTAAGGTGTGAACTGGCGGCCATATCCTACAATTGCAAACAACGTAATTTATTAGGCGTTTTACATAAGCAGCTATGTGGAAGACCACCAGGACATTACACACAAATCTTCCTAGACGCCCAACTACATCGGTACAACAACAGATCTAGAAAACGTAAGTATGTTTATCACAATCACTCGCCCCCTTTCCGCGTCTTTTATTTGTAATTATTTCTTTTTGTTTTAGATTTGAACGCCTATATCAAGTAAAGGTAACCAGATGCGGTCTCATCGTCGATGAAGAAAAACCGTATTTGGCTTGTTCTCCTGACGGTTTAGTTGGGGAAGACAGTATAGTTGAAATTAAGAGTTCCTTGAAAAGTGGCGACCACGATCCTGTTGAGGCATGTATGTTAAAATTAATTGACTATTGTGTTTTAGATGAGGAAAACAATAGAATTATGCTAAAAAGGAGTCATAATTATTACTATCAACTCCAAGGCATTATGCACATCACCAAGAGAAGCAACTGTTATTTTATAGTTTATACAACAGCGGGAATCCATGTTGAGGAAATAAGAAGGTATGTTACCTACAAAATATGTCTAGCGAAATACTCATGCACTTACATTCTTATAGGGATGACATCTTTTGGACACAACATATGGAAAAAAAGCTGCAAGAATTTTACATGCAGTCATTATTGCCAGAATTAGTGGATTCAAGGCGATGTCGTAATATGGACATTAGGACGGTACACATGGTAAATTAAATACTTTTTCGGAAATGCAAACCTGCTTGTTCGTTTTTTATTTACCTAATATTTAAGTTTATATGTAAAATTGTATTAAAATTTATCTTTCAAATAAAAGTACCATTAGTGACATATGTTTTACAATGGTGAAACACCAAACCGTATGTTTTCAATAAAATAATTGCGTCACTTGTCCCATATTTATAAAATTGCATTGGCGATGACAATAATGGGGTACCGCGAATAACGATTCCCTGGAGTGCTCGGAATGGAAATTTTCGAGAACCGGAACGCGAGCATCAGCCCATCCCCAGGAGGTTTAGGAAGGGGGGGGGGGGCATAGTAAACATAATGGTTACGCTTTGGAGGAAAAATATTCCAAATTTAAAATTTTGGAAGAATAAACATTATTTACTGCCTTTCAAAGGTTAAAGAGAAAGCTCCAAAACATTAAAAAATCAGTTACAGAGTTCCGCTTTGTGGAATCTATTGTTTCCCTTTGTGTAGAGACAAAGCGAATTCTGCTGGGTTCCGTGTGCTGGTACGATCTGGAGAACGTATAATCCTTTCCAGATGTGATATTTACCACACTAAGAAAAAATAAACCAACAATGAGGGTTATTCCCTAACTCTAAAGGAATCGAAATGTAACAAATCGAATCGGAATGTTTAGTAAAATCGGAATTATTAGGCAAACAATTCCGATTTGACTAAACATTCCGATTCGATTTGTTACATTTCGATTCGATTGGAAGTTAGGGAATAATTTCCATTATGTAGGATTATGTGCAATTTTTTTTTCGGGGGGAGGATCTGACCACACGGTCGCTTCATGAACGGGAACGGCGTACAAAATTTTTCCACGACACGAAACTATATGTAATATTTTTTACCAACCGGAACCCGGAATAACATTCGTTCCGGTCCATTCCGCTTCCCCGCAGACATTCAAAGGTTCTGCATAAATGTAGTACAAATAGCCTCGGGTATATACAAGGTAAATTTATTTTGTTAGTGGTTTAAATTATCCACTAATTACCCCAAGTCCTCGGGCAATTTATACCTGCCGCGGATCATTAGAAAGAAAAGAGATACCTATATTGTGTTGCAGTGGATTTTCAACCTTATTGACATGAAACATTTCCATCGATTTCTTCCGTTTTTCCCAATATTTTGGCACTAGTTTATAATTCTACAACGTGCGCGGTGGTTTAAACTTTTATACACTGCACGTACTGTGTTATAATAGAAGATTATTTAATAATAATGATATCTGTGATTGATTATATTGAAAATTCGAAATCGCCACTCAAAAAATCATATCTATTAACACATGCTTCGTTTTTAAAAAAACGTTCTATTGTAACATTCAGACACATGTATACACCAAAAAGACGTTTTGTCCGTTTCTTCAACATTTCAAATAAATTTTTTTTTTTGGGAAATAAGTTAACATTGCTCTTATGGGTGTATGATGTGTTGCCGACTTTCTATTTAGAACCACAGATTTAATGCGCTTTTCTTAAACAATTGCAATCGTCATATAATTTTCTTCCCTAGTCCATGTCCTGATTCATCCCTTATTCTTCATTATTAAAATCATGACCGATTTGTAATTCAACTTTATCTGCTTATTTATCAAACATTTAATTATTTAAAGGTCTGAACTAATTAAAATCGTCCCCTTTTATTTTTGTTTTTTGAATAATAATAATACTTTCAAACTTACTGCGAATTTTCTAATTTATCAGAAGAGTCTGCGCCACTTTTTTGTCTAGAAGAGCTTGATCTGAGGACATTTCGAATAACGGTTTCTTTGAGTCCCGCTATACCAGCGTAACCGATTTCAGAAAGTATCCTTTAATTTCGTCTGAGAGATTGGAAATATTCGGAATAATTTCCGTTATTATTTGCGAATCCACAGATAAATTACTGGGGGTAATAAATTCATGCAAAAGAGAAAAATATTCCAGGATGTTAAATCTTAAGGAAGTTTTTTAGAAGTCGCACCTTGCATATTAAAAGCGCTTCAATTTAACGTCGAACCATTCGTTTCGTTGAGAAAAGTAAAAATGTCAGCTAACTTATTCTGTACGCTATTTGTGAAAATAACGTCAAATCCGCGGATTCAAGCAAAAGTAAATCTTATGTTACCAACAGTTTGTTGTAGAAACGATTACTATTATGATATTGCTGTAACTTCCAATAAAATTTATAAAATAACATCAAATAAATTAGTCCTAATAAACACAGCAATCACATTTTACATAAAAATACCAGGATTAGGAAAATCAAAAACTGCTCAAGTAAAAAATATAACTCGTGACTCCATTCAGCTGTGTATTTGTCTATCGGACCATATGATGCTACTGAACACCACCTGTTTGCTTTTGTAAATGATCAATACATGGCGTTTTTTTTTTATTAGCGAAGGGCAAAATGCATCTTTGGCAGATATAGTTAATTTTTACCAAAACCCGATCGTATTCAAAATCTCATTTCTACCACTAAATAAATATAAATGGGAAGCCCTTTTTGGGTCGATATTCATTTCGCATGTCCACTCAATTATCTTTGCAGTATGTGTGCCACGTATCTCAATCTCGAAAAGGAATCCACTTCGACAGATTCCATTTTTTATAACAAGAACATAATACGTTTCTGCGGTTATGGCGATTTTAATTTCTGATTTATTGTTTCGCTCCGTGAATCGAATAATATTCGTACATTGTAATCGAGGCACGTTTTCGGTTTACGTCCCTTGATGTGGATCAGCGGACTCCGGTAATATCCATTTAACTAATGAGACAAGCTTACATCGTAAGCTTCCCATCATTGTCAAGTGAGTAGTGCTCATATAAGCGAAGATAAGTAAAGAAATGCGTTTATGAAGCGAAAATATCCACAGTAAACGACACATTTGGGTTATAAAAATTTCTCTATTGTGTTCATTGAACAACGCTAGCTGCGCAAACCTTATGCTTTTGTCAGGGATCGAGCATCTTTTTTTTAATTTGTGAGCGCGTGTTCCATTTTTTCAGATTGACGCTCGGTGAAATTCGCATAATGGAACAATATTGTGTTTTTGTAAGGAAGTCTTTTATTGTATGGATCTAAGGGGAACAGAAAGATCTAATTCTTGTATGACGATCGCAAAACTTTAGAGTAACGTTTTCATTTCCTGGATAATCGAAATCCTCTGTTCTTTTTGTATTTCCTGTTCCTTTTGTTCTCGTTTCGTGACATTTACATGTTTATGTAGGGAAAACAAAGGAAAAAAGCCCTACAGCCAGATAGGTACACCCAATTAAGGATTAAGGGTAGTAACAGGTCAATATTTCTTAATTTTAGTAACGGATTTCATGCTATATGGACCTTTCGAACTGACCCTCGTATAATTGACTAGTTTGTTTCGATAGTTAAGAGCCGGTAAATAGGCCTATACCAAGACTGGCGTCAGTGGCGCGATTATATGACATGATCAGTAAGTAACTATTATTAATTGCACCCCCTTGCATTTAGTGGTATATTATATTAGCACTCCAAAAAAAACCGATTAAAATGTCAATTTAGCATCTCGTATAAAATATAAATACTCAACCAAATTTTAGTATTTTTTACATTGAACAGTTCCTAATACGCAAAAAAAGACATTACACAAATTTGATTTTTATAGGCGCTAGAGCCCTTTTTGTAGCATATCGTTTTTTTCCAAAACGTAAGGTTGCGCGGATATTCAACGTGTACTGGTGTCTGCGGTATAATGCCAGTAATGCAAGAATAATAATAATAACGTAAAATTAACCAGGCTTTACTTTGTTACCCAGTTCATTAAAATTGGCCCAATGGTAATTTTTCGGTTACGTTTCAAGTTCGTCCGCGCATACTTTTTAATCTGACAGTAATAATCTAAGAGCTGCCTACAGAAAAATGTTAGTTGGTTGATTTTTTTTTGTAACCCTGATACATAGTCAAGTGGAAATCGTCATGTCTACCAGCAAGATCCAGTGACTTAAGTAGAGCTGTTTGGGTGTGGATTACTAGATCATTACTGAAGATTGTCTATATAACCACTCTAAACGTACACCAGAAATTATCTAAAATATGTTTTAACCTCT